CTCAGGGCTGGAGGGGGAGGGAATGGGGGGGGGGGTTCAGGGGCTTGTGGTGGCTGGGAGACTCTGCGCTGAGCAGCAGGGGCAGGGCACCATGGTCAGGGCTGTTTGCTGCCCCTCCTGCTCCAGTGTTTCCTTTTTTGGAAGGAGCTGGGCTGTGGCTGAAGTGCATGTCTGGGACTGCCCCAAGCCAGCCCCCATGCCCCCATCCGCATGGTCCAGGACTGCCTCAGCCCCAAGCTCCCTCCCCATGCTTCCCACACACACTCCCCAACCCCGTCCTGAGTCCCCCATGTCCCCAGCCCTCTGCCCTGACTCCTGCACCCCAACATTGCCAGCCCCCTGCCCTGAGCCCCCATAGCCACACACAACCCAACCACCTGCCCTGAGCCCCCCCCCCTGCTTCGCATTTACATTACTTTCACCTTTTCCTTGCCTCTGTGCAATGGTGTAGGTTGTGGGGTCCAGCACAATAAAAGGGTCACTCCCAAGGGCCTGGCTGAAGGCCTGGCACAGACCAGATCCTGTGTGTGCTTGACAGGAAGTCACCTCTCATGCTGCTCTGTGCCAGACTGAACAGACTGACCCGCAGTGTCCTAGCGTGCGGCGTTCGCTCCAGCCCCCAAATGGTGCTTGTGACCCTTTTCAGTAGAGACTTCGGCATTTCGAGGTGCTGGTCAGACCCCAGTAAGGGAGTGCCATGTCTCACCACCAGCACCACCCCTGGACCGGCCAAGTGTGGCTGCTCAGAGACCAGGGAAACCTGCCCAGGTTTTTAGCAGTTCCAGCTGAGCTGTTAGGATTGCCAGATACCTTCCAAAAACTGGCAGGGGAAAAAAATTGGTTAAGCAAAAAAAAAGGGGGGGAGGGGCACCAAATTTGTTGAGCAAAAAAAGCCCCTTGAGAGCAGCAGCAGGCCCCTGTTCCTGCCCTCCCCCAAATACCAGGGGTATGGAGGGCCCAGGCAGGGGCAATTCACACGCGGAGGGGGAGATTTTCACAGGCCCAGGGGAGTTGGGGGGGGTCAATGGGGCTTGTGCTCCGGAATCCCTGGGGCGCTCTAGAAAAATCTCCCGCTCGCTGCCCCACTAGCACCCGGGCTGCTGCATCCCTCGCCCTCTGGCTCTGGAGCGGGGGGGCAGGCCGCCCC